GTTAATTGAAAGATTTATGTAGATATGATATCTCTGCTTTTGGTACAGACAAAGATGCTATTAAACAGCCGAAACTAGTGATCACTAAAGAACAAAATTTATGGTGACCTGCTTTGTAATTACAAACAATTCAAATCTTTTGGATCTAACAAGCTATATGCTTTGTACTGTGGTTGTACGGTGAACGAATCTTTGTTTGATCAAAATAACGTTGTACAAGTTATTTTGAAATATTTGATCTTAGAGCTTCATATACTTCAAAGATTCGTGAATTATATGTTCTGGGGTGGACTTGATCCACTTCTCAGAAAAGAAAAACTTACTGGCTCATGGCCCTAATTATTGAATTTGATTTCAAAATACTATCACGGATAGGCGTTTACAGGAAATGCTTCTAGAAAATTGCTCAAGAAATCAGATAATCTATTAAAACGGAAAATTTATCAGGATGGGAGGACCACCACGTGGTAATTTAATCATTCATAGTCGCATTCAAAACCATGGGTAAAATCATCCATTCGTATTTTTCTGTGAAAAAAATGCAATCAGACTTGAATAAATACGTAGAATATTTGAGAAAAGTTATTCTTGCTAATCTAATGATTTAACCAAGACACTAAAAATTAATGGTATACTGAATCATATTCAGGAAGCAATTGAATTTTTAAATAAAGAAGAAAGCTTCAGTAATTGATCAGAACAAGTAGATGTGGCAATACATCATAATAAAATCAAAATTCATCCAACAACTTCGAAAAATATTTCCTAATTATTACAACATCGAAAGAAAAAAACACGCAATTTGACACTTAGTAGTGCGAAGAAGAAAAAGATTTTAAAATTATATTAGGGAATATTTACCCATCGATTGATATAAATGAATTAAAAATAGCCATAGAACGTGGACATAAAGTAATAAGTATTCATAATATAAGGTATCGCAACATAAAATTATCAATGTCGCTTTTTACAGTTGTAATTGAATATAATTATAAAAGCCAGGAAATTTATAAAGTAAACCGACTATTAATCACGATAATCAATTTCGATCCACCGAACGTTAAAAAAGAAATTCCCCAATGTCAAAATCGTCCAGAATATAGGCATGCAAAAAACTACTAGTACAAAAGTGCTGTGCGTATTAAATATGCTTAACAACACCAAACTAAAGAATATCCAATTAAACAATAAATAAAAGAAGTAACAGTGTAAATTGCAAAGGCAATCATACCGCAAGCCATAAAAGATAAAATCCAGTTCGTAAACAATTACATAAAAAACTATTTCCTGAACTAAGAGAAAAAACGTTAAATCAAAACAGTATTCAAGTTCATCACAATTCATCAAATTCAAATTTATATGCCAACGTCAATAGAGCTGAACCAAATATAATATATACACAATTAATATCAGAACAGAACGATCAGAATGAGATAAAAATATCAAAACAAACAGTTATTCAAGCAGAATTAAGTAGACATACCAAAAAAGTACATAAATAATAAACATGAACATATGATGGAACAGCTGATGCAACGAGATGATACTATGTTAAATCTTTTAACTACACTAGTAAATAAAATGGCATAATGAGCTTAAAGCAGTCTAAAACTCGATATCTGGAAGGCGAATGGTCTTATGCAAAGTCATATGCAATTAAAAGCATTTTTAATTTATGAAAATATAGACATCATATTGATATTTACACTTTACAAGTAAAAACTATCTTAATATACCAGACTAATCACCAAAGATAAACCTAATAATCCGCTTAATAAAGCACACGGTGGTGCTGCGATTATAATCAATATAAAAGTAAACCACACACAGTCTCACACTTGGATTGATGTCATATTGACTGATGCATGCGACACAATCATGGACCGCAGGAACGAATTGCTGCTCGGTTTCGGTAAGTACACAATTATTGATGTTCGGATTAACATCCACGCGTCATCTTCTGCGATGCGGAGCTTTTCATATCGCAACATTCATGGTATTCGCCCAGATTTGCTTTTAGACTTTTTGGCTGGCTGTGACTGGGCATTCTTTGGCTCTGCTGGGTCAGATCTGCAGGGTGCTATTAAGGGTCTTAACAATAACTTAACTGAAGCCATTAACACGTTTGCACCTGAGAAGACGATATGCTTCAAGAAAAATTATGATCCATGGTTTGGCCCAGAGTTCAGGTTACTTGGTGACAAGCATGATGCCTTGCGTAGACGCTACAAGCGTACTGGATGGAGCGGGCGAATGTTTTAGAGGAATTCCTTAGGCTAGGCAACGAGGTCGACGTCTGCATGGAACAAGTGCGCGTCAACTTATTTCAAAATCATCTATTTAGTACTCGTCATGAAGGAAAAAAATATTTGGAAGGAAATGCGGTACCTAGGCTTCTTGCTAGGGGTAGGTAGGGATGGGCTTCATGGGTTTACTTTGGATGAGCTGAATGATCATTTTGCTGGTGTTTCGGTTTCGTTGCTTGAGGACATAGACAGCGGGATGATCGGTATTACGGATGAGAGGAATTTTACCTTCAAACCTGTTGATGTTAATGACGTCATCCTAGCTGTCCCTCACTTTACATCATAAGCAAGCATCGTTGACGGGGTTCCCCGTGGGATGGTCGTGAAAACTCTTCCGATTTATAGGTAAATACCTGAGGTCAATATTTAATTCTTCAATTGCTAAGGGGGTATTCCCGAGTGCCTGGAAGCGTTCACATCTGATAGCTTTGAGGAATAATAACGCTCCTTCCTCGACCTTGGACTTTCATCTAATAGCTTTGCTTTGCTTCCTATCAAAGGTTTAAGAGAATTTTACCTACGATCAAATTACGGAGTATCTAAATAAAGAAAATCTTCTTGATTCCCTCTAGACTAGCTCTAAGTGGAATCACAGCAACCAGGCAACATTAATCAAACTGCTGGATGATATTCGAATGACTGTTGACAATAAGATAGCGACGCTTTTGCTGTTATTTGATTTCAGCGAGACATTCGACAATATTTCGTTTTCAAAGCTTTTGCGTAGGCTTCGTGCCCTTAGCTTCTCTGGCTCTGTTCTCCAATGGCTTAGGTCCTATCTAAATGGTCGCTAACAAAGAGTTACCTCGAAAGATGGAAAATCTGACTGGCTAGACACAAATCTGGGGGTCTCACACGGCTCAGTGCTGGGACTGCTCTTGTTTTGTCTGTATTTCAATGACCTGAAAGATTAGTCAGAGAATATGAGGTTTCACACCTCTTCTCTGCAAATGTCTTGCAGATTTATCTGCATATACCTAAGAACCAATTAACAAAGGGCATTCGAATACTAACGAAAGCGCCTAGATTGGTAGTGAACTGGGCCCGCGACTCAGATCTACGCCTGAACGCCAGTAATACTAAAGCAATAATTTTCGCTACCAACAAAATCATAAATGACATCTTTGTAAAAGACTTGCCTGGTGTTGAGGTGAGGAAGGGTGTATTTGTTTTCTTCAGTGAGGAGATAACTAGTCTTGTGGTCGTGCTGTACAGTAAGCTGTCGTGGAGATGGCATATCGCGGCGAAAGTCAGGAGGGTTCTGTACGGCCCACGCTTTATTAGACCGTGTACTACAAAGCTACTCCAGTATAAATTAGTGAAATTGCTAGTCCAGCATTACCTGGACTATAGCACTGTGGTGTGTATGAGGGCCTCGGCTGAGCAGAGGGAGCGATTGCAGAGACAGCAATGCATGCGTGAGATACATCTTTGGTATCCCGCGTGATGTCTCGGTCTCTCCATTTAGACTGAATTTGGGCTGGCTTCGCGCAATGTGCGCATGGAATATTTTGTGACCGTGCTCATGTATAAGTACCTGTGTATACGCAAATCGGGTTACCTGGCAGAGCTCTTCAAAAAGCTTAAGTCAAGATATCCAGGTAGGGCGGGGCAAGCGAAACTAAGAGTTGCGAAAGTGAAAACGGTGAAAGCGCGCAGGTCTTTTCAGGTGATGGGTGCCCATCTTTGGACACCCTTTCCTCGAATCTAAAGCATGTATCGTCGTTTGGCAGCTTTAAACGAAGGGCGCGCTATCACTTTGCTACATTTAGCACGTAGGACATAGGAGTGCCACTGGTGCATTTGTTTATATATTTATTATATGCAATTTGTACTCGTATGTTTGTGGTGTAAAATGTTTATTTGTATAAATTAGTGTTTGATGATGTAAGCTACTATTAAGTGAGCTTTGGGCTGCATTACTAGTTTTAAGACATATGCAAGCTGGTATGTTGCGACAAATACTAATGCTTTCCTCAGGAATATTAATTACATAAATACTGGTGAAGGTCTGATCTGAATAGTTGTAAGTCTGTCTGTTCTCGTTTGCAGATTATTGAATTTATTGACTGAGGAAGTATCTCAACGCTTGTAATAATTTTATTATACTTTGTGTAAGAATAACGTAATTATTTTATGTATTGACGTATACTGTATATAAGTTGTATTTAGTGTTTTGCTGCTATGGCAAATAAAGAGCTATCAATCAATCTCTGTCTCTGTATCTCTCTCTATTTCTCTTTCTTGTGTGATCCTACGTACAGCTAGAAAATCAGTCGTTCAATACTTGCGCCGTATTATTATTTCAAGGAAAAAAATAGTGTAATAACAGATTCACGTAATTGTTTGTTAATTGATCTCATCTTTAATCATTTGCAATCTTAACACCCTAATCTATCGTTACCTGAATTCGAATCTGTACACTTGTTCAATTGCGTTTTTTCTAATTTTATGCAAGTTTTTAGATGCGCGCGTAACAACAACTATTTGCCAATAAAGTTTTCTGCCTGTTGCAGATTAAGATGACGGTGAGCCTCACAATAAGGGAAATTATTAAAGAAAATTAAAACGGCAAGTCAGATAATAATTAACCGATTTATTTTTTGTGCTCAAATCTAATTTTGTCATCTTACTTCACTTACTTATGATTTAGTAACTAAATGATAAACGAAATAAAGTGACTAAAATACTTACCCTGGCATCATTGATTCCAGTCAGTTTAGTTTTCGGGCGTTCCAATACAAGGAAAGCCGCCAAGTTCGCAGTATAAGAAGCAACTATGATCATGGCAAATCCAGCCCAAACCATTCCCAAGACTCGTGCTGAAAAACTTCGAGGTGTACCTAGAAAATAAAATTTCTAGGAAATCTTTATATATCAATAATTTTCTAATGAATAAGTATACTTCAATGTCAAGGTTATCAATAGAAATTTTATCGACTCCTTTAATTCAAAATAATTTTTTTAAAACGTTTGAACCACATGAAAATATGGATAAATCAGATTAAACATAATCTAATCAAGAGTCGCGGTTGTAAGACATGCTTGAACAGACACCAAGGATCTACAAAAAAATTCGATAATACGCAATGCTATTATGGAGAAAGATGAATGTTTGCGGTTGTGAGTATATATGTGTGTGCATGTATGTAAATAAAAAGATAGGCTTATTTTGATTATGTAGCCATGCCCTTCTGTTCCTTTTTGCCAATTTTCGGCTTTTTTCTGACATATTTACTCATTCTTTGAGGACTTGTGTTATCTCATTTTAAGTTAATTTTCTTTTAATCTTCACCTTATTATCATATTATCCATTTTTGCTCCATTCTATCACTTTTTTCCCCTCCATTTTCCTCACCATTTGTGTCTCGTGTCCAGTCTGTGTAGTTGCTAATGTATGTGTTTTAGGTGTGTATGTGCGTGTGCGTGTATTTTGTGTATATGTGTACATATGTAGGTGTGTCTGCAAATCTTGTGTCTCTGCCTTCTGCGCCTATCTGCTCAGCCTTTCTTCCCATTTTTCAGTTGCTTAATCTTCTCTTCCTCTCTTTCTCCGAGATCTGTCTTTTCTACTCTTCTGTTTTTCTCTTTCTTGCTTATTTTCTTTTCGACTTCTTCCTTTGCTACTTTCTTTTGCCTTTTCACCTTTGCCTTTCTTTTGCTTTTGCTCTCTTTCTTGCTAATCATCTTACCTGTCTTTCTCCTTATTAGGGCTTTGACACCTTTTTTCTCATTTCCTATTGCTTCTTCTGCCTTTCATTTCCTCAGCCTCACTTATTTTCCTTAGTGTCTTATAATTTTGTCTTCTTATTTTCCTTTTTCTTTCTCTTCTTCTTTTCTTCTTCTTTTCCATTTTTGCACCATCATCCTACACCTGCTTCCTCTCGCTTGTATAGTTGCTAGTACGTGTGTTGTGTTTTTTTTTTTTTTTTTTTATCGGAAGAGGTGGAGAATGCTTTTTACGCACCATGACAGGAGCCTTGCGGGGCTCCCCGTGTGTGGGGCTCGCCAAGTTATTTGCATCACTTGCCTGATCAGATGGTACGACCAGCTTCTACTTCTTCCGAAGTAAAAGCCCTACCCACCAAACTCCAGCCTCTTTATCTTCTATAGTCCTTTTATCCCCCACGGAACTGCCGCTAGGTATTACTTCACGGGGAGGCACTAGCATTTCGCTTTTCCTTCTATCTTGCCTTCCCTACGTCCCCCAATCACCGCGAGGTGGTTGGAGGTTCGGGCTAAGGTTGTCGTCTTCTTCTTACTGCATCATTGAATCGTCTTCTTCTTTCTGCATCGTCCGGTCGTCTTCTTCATACAGCATCGTCCGGTCATCCTCGGGACAGACTCGACCTCGACATCTACGTTCCTCTGCATCGGGTGAGGGAGTCTGAGCTCAACCCAATGGCCTTCGCTGACCTGCTATGGCAGGGGAGCATTTAAGGAGAAACCTGCCTTGTTATCGTATAGATAGTCTCTACTCCAGAGTCTACGTTCCTCTGCATCGGTTGGAGGAGACTGAGCTCAACCCAGTCACCTACGTTCCTCTGCATTAGCGAGGGGAGTTAACTGTTCTACAGTCTGGCGCCCCGCACTCCTACTTCTTTCCTCTCTCCTCTTTTTCTCTTCATTCCGAAGCTCTGTGATCACTTTTCTAGCAAAATCTGTTGTGGCGTTCCATGTCTCCTGGGATGCAAGCATCTTTTGCACCAGGCTGACTGACATGATCGCCGTGTCGATTGTGCTTTCAAGCTGTCGTCATTGGTGGTCAAATCTTGGGCACGTGAAGAACACATGCCCCGCGTCCTCCTTTATTCCGTAACATCTTGGACATTCTGGCGAGTCCTCATGCTTGTACTTGCACAAGAATTGCCGGAAACATCCGTGTCCAGTAAGCATCTGTGCCAGGTAGTAGTTGAGATTCCCATGTTTGTGATTCACCCATTCCGCTATTTTTGGGATGAGTTCATGGGTCCATCTGCCCTTTTCCCAGCTGTTCCAGTGTATCTGCCAGCATTGGAGGCTCTTCTGCCTTTCTCTCTTTCTGCAGTCATCTGTCTGCTTTTCTACTGTTCCGGTGGTGGTAAATCCTTTTTTGTTCTTCGGCCAAGATCTCGATTGGCAGCAGACCGGATATCACGTGCGCAGCGTCCCTGAAGACGATCCTTAATCCACTTGCGACTCTTAGCGCCATTTGGCGACGTACTGGGTATATTCGTCTTTGGCACTCTTGCAGCTCTAGCGCACTACCCCAGATGGCAATTCCATACGTCAGTATTGATATAACCACTGAGGCTAGGAGGGCTCGTCGTTTCGGTTTCGGCCCACCAACATTTGGCATGAGTCGGCTTAACGCTCCTCCAACTACTGATGCCTTACTACTAGTGTGCTCGACTTGGTCCTTAAAGCTAAGACGCGCGTCTATCATTACTCCTACGTACCGGATGGATGGTTGCGACTCAATTTCGCAATCACCAACTTGCAGCTTAAGCGTTTCACGCTTTTTTCTGCTAGTTATGAGCACAGCCTCTGTTTTGTGCTTTGCCACTTCCAGCCCCGAATCGTCAATCCAGGGAGCATATAAGCTGAATGTCTTCTTGAACAGGTTCTTAATATCCTCTATGTACATGCCTACGATCACGAGAGCAATGTCGTCTGCGAATGCAACGGCTATTACCATCCTTGGTATCTTTAGGTTGAGGAGGCCGTTGTACATGACGGTCTACAGGAGTGGTCCCAGTACTGAGCCTTGTGGCACTCCTCCACTGACCTTGTATACCTTCGGTCCGTCGTTTGTATCATACTGTAGGATTCTGTCAGTAAAATAGCTAGCTATTAGTTTCCGCAAGTACTTTGGGACATTCATGAGCTCATGGGCTTTCATGATCTTATCCCACTTTGCAGAATTAAAGGCATTCTTCATATCAAGCGTCACTATAGCATAGTAGATTACGTCACCTTTTTCCCATCGGTCTCCTGAAATCGCATCCCTGGCGATTTTAACTACTAGATTGATAGCATCAACGGTTGACCTTCCTTTCCGAAATCCAATCTACCTGTCGGAGAAGTGTCTTTCAGCTATTACTTCGATTCTCGTGTATATGATCCTTTCTAGGATCTTGCCCATCGAATCGAGCATGCAGAGAGGACGGTAAGATGATGGTTTGTCTGGTGGCTTTTTCCCTTTTAAAAGGAGGACCAGCCTCTGCAGCTTCCATTGAGCAGGAAAGTAGCCCTCTAGGATGCACCTGTTGTACATGTGGAGGAACATTTCCGGCGCTATCTTTATTGCCTTTTTTAGTGCGATGTTCGGTATACCGTCTGATCCGAGGGCTCTCTTGTTCCCTAGTCGCAGCTTTTAGTTCCTCTAAAGTTATCGGTGGTACCGGCTCTTCTAACATAGGGACATCAAGCTGTTGCGACGGTTGCTCTGGAAAAAGATTTGTCACAATCTTCTCTAGTAGGACCGGGCACGTGGGCGAGGACAGTGGTTGTGATTTAACCCTTTTGATGGGCGGTTTTTACGCCTAACCCTCGGACTAAGGTTTAAACTTGCATACTCTTCCTCGGAAGCCGATGAACTTGTCAGAGGGCTATCAAAATCACTTCGCTCGTACACTTCTGACCTTGTTGAGACGGCTGCGGAATCCGATCGACCATCTGTCACCTCCGCTCTTCCGGCCGAGCTAGGTTGCGATAGACCGCACTCCTGCTCCAAGCCGGGCGTTGACGAAACGTCCGCCATCATTCTTTGCCTTGCTGCCGTTCTTCTTTCTTCCGCTGTTTGTCCCTCATTCAGCGGAGAAAACAGATTTGCCAACGAAAAATCCGGACCTCTACGGCGTCGTCTCCTTCGGCCTGTACCTCTTTGAGCTTCTGCTACTCGTCGGCATTCATCCAGGTACCCCGCTGGTGGGACATTTGACACCGCAGGCGGCCTGCCGAAAGAGAATCGCAGGTCCAAAGCTTAGAGATAGAGGGGCTTCCACTGCAGCGGATCAGGAACATGTTTCGCAGGCTTTACAGGAACCAAAACCTTCGCCACTTCCGCAGGCCTCTGTGCATCCTCTTCTACTTCTTCAATAACTTCAAGGAGGTCGTTCGTAAATCCTCCGAGCTCTAGCGTGTCCGCCAGACTGCCCGAAGCCAAACCGATAGGACTTGCGACTTCGGTCGCGACCTCGGGCGTCGGGGACACCGACTCTCTCGTTCGCTGTTCCATTTGTAAAGGCAAAACCAACACCGTTACTAACAATTACACTACATATGCAATAAAGAAAGAGAAGAAACAAACACAACATATATTAATACACAACGCAACTCTACATCTCACTCTACACGACACGATAATTACTGGATCCGGCCAACGACTCGCGGCGAAACGTATCTTTTTAAACCTTTTATGTGCACCATTGGGACCTGTCGCTTGTCCTTTACTTCCAACTCATACACGACGTCCGAAATCTTTTTGACAATCTTATACGGACCTCAAAATTCAGACTCTAGGCTGGCGTTTCGGCCCACCGCCACACTCGACAACGGATGAAGCTTGCGCCAAACCAAATCCCCTTCACTAAACGCAGCATACCGGCGCTTCCTATCGTACACACACTTCTGTCGTTCTTGAGCGTTCTCAATATGCTTACTCACTAAAGAGTGTGCCTTGCTACTTTTAATTGCCTTAGCCAGTTGGTCCCGTGCTACGTTGTAAGAGTCTTTGAGATCTCTATACTTTGTCTCCTTCCTGGCTCGCGTGGCTTTTCTTCTTGCTCGAATGCTGTCCTGTCTTCTTTTGTCAATTTTGGCGTTCCACCAGTACATGGGCGGGTGATCGTTGTTAGGTCGC